TGTCGCGACAAATACCGCCCACTCTGATGTCACCTCGCTCGGCTACCAGCCCTTGGAAGAAGACCAAAGGATGTCATCTGAAGCTGGTGAAGACAAAGAGCCAGTGTCACCACTGGCTGAAGACCATTGAGATAGGTCAGCGTTGAGAACCCGAGGCATTACCATGAGACACCAACAGCGCTGCACACTGGACCACACCTTGAGTTAGGGAAAAATGAGGCTTCTTTACACCATCCACATGGTTTTGTCCTGCCCCACAGGCAGAGGGGAGGTGACTTCTCCCACCCACCAGCCACTGTCCCTGTCACCTGCATCTTCTCTGTCCTGACTCCAGACAGCCCCAGTCTCCCAGAGCTCCTATTGAGAAAGAGCTCGGTTGTGGTTACGAGTCGTTAGGGCAGAAGGTTTCAAGCGATGGCAAATGAAAATGGAAAAGGCTGGAAGGAACTGGGCAGGCTCCCTTGCAGATGGGCGGTGTTGCATTTCACACTGACCCATGCCTGGCTTTTCTGGGAAAGGCCTGTATTATGGAAGCACAATTCCAGTTTTTCCCCACAGGACTGTGGTTTTTCATTGGGTTTTTTTTTTTTTTAATTTACTGAAATTTGCACAGAAGTTCTTGCCCTGTTAAGACTCATGAGCTGTACTGCAAAAGACTGGAAATAAAACACAGCCATGCAAAGTGATAGAGCTCGAAGTTCTTGGTTTACTCATGGTTTCACCTTCCAGATGCCTTCCCTGACATTACAGTTCCCTCTTCAGTGACGTTGTTTTGTGTCAGAGGGGCCTTTCCTTTCCCTGAGCTGTTCGGTGAGATCCAGTTCCACATCCTGTTGAACCTGGAGGAAAAGAAGAGTCTTGAGAAACAGGGAGATGCGTTGCCAGAAAAGGAGCCTTGGCCAAACGAAGAGGATTGCCAGACTGCCTGAACTCTCACTGAACCGAGGAGCGGGGTGGCCCCATGTATCCTAGCAAACTCCACACAGCAAGAAATACGCCAAAACTGAGATTTGAAATATCTTAGATATACTTATTTTGATTTCACCCCCATTTTACTTTTTCTTTTTAATGTATTTTTCCATATCCTGAGGACTTACAGCGGACACTGCAATGGGTTAACTCCAGACAGGCTTTTCCCCTATAAAGATTGGGTGCAGGAACACTTAACCTTATTTTCTTATCATTTCTGGGGCATAAAATAATTTCATGTGCCATAGATGATTTTTTTTTCCTTCTTCCCTTTTTCAAGAACATGTTGTAACTAGTGGTTCACAAATGACTCCTTGGTTAGATAAGACGTTATGTTTTTATCCTTGGACTATGCCCCCAGGCTTTCAGTAATGCCAGCATCAGCTAAGTTAGCATCTGATTAGTGGGTTTTGCCTCTTACTCAATGTCAGTCTTGATTATGTCTATTAATCTGGAACTTTTTTTTTTTTTTCCCAACAGAGCTATGGGCACAATCCTGCCTGATTCTCAGCACTCTGCTTCTATCGCAGCTAAGAGGTCCCGTTTTTTTACAATTCCAGGGGGGTTTTGTATGGGCTTCTCACTGTTAAAATAGTCATATTGGTATTCACCATGCTTTTTGGCAACTGTGGCCCAGAGAGAAGACATTTGGGCTCCTGCTTTGATGTCAACAAGCGTTGGCTTTAGAGATCCCTCAATGTTCTCGATTTCTCAGTCCAAAGTGAGGGTTGAGGCTTATTTCCAAACAAAGCTGGGCAGTGAGGATGTGCTTGGCCATTTTTTCATCCTGGGAATGAGAAAAGGGTATAAAGCAAATTTCATAGTTCAGGACCGGATTTCAACATCACAACCATATTGATAATCAGGACTGACTTGTTATGGAAGGTGGTGGTGGAGTGATACTATACAGCATTTCTATTTCAAACAGATGTCAGTACCCTGTTCCAAACCACTCCAGCACAAAAGCAGCCTCAAAGAGTACCAAAACTTTGCTGAGGGCTGAACAGTTTCTTCTTCTTTCCTTTTCCTGCTTTCTTCCATCACTTTCTGAGTCACAGCTGCAATTCGACTGTGATCTGTTCAAGGCTGGGACTGAGTTTTATTGACATCAGGAGAAATGTAGCTGATGTCGAGGTGCCCTCACATCTACTCAGCACTGTTCATTATCGCAATGAAGTGGACACCTGTCCCAGTCAAGAACCAGAAAATCCCTAGCTGGTTTCTTCATTACCTTACAACGATTTAACCTGACAGAGTAGACCAGTTGGAGAACTAGGAGACTCTCTCTCCAGTTGACCTCAAGCAAGTGTTAGACATACAGACCTGCTCTTGGAAAGCTGCCTTTGATGTGGGAAACAGGCTGGTGGCAGGTGGGAGAGGGATGGTGCTTGGCTCTCAGTGCTTTGGCATCACCCTGAAGGACAGCAAGCCTGCAGGCCCTTTGCTCTTCTCACTCAGGGTGTCCACTTACATGCATCAGCCTTGGTCTGTCTCTGGTGGAAACACATGATGAGCACACAAGACCCACTTTAGGGACAGAAGAAATCTCAAATCCTTCGCAAAGTGGGGCAACAGTGAGGGAAGATTTGAAGGTAGAGATTTGTGGCGTTGATCAACTGCTCTCCACTGAGACACTCTTCCCAGGACTTGAGCTCCCCACGGGATGCAGACATGGCAGCTCTTTAGAATCTTCTTCAGCTATGTCTGCATGTGTCTGCAGGCTGCGTGAGGGTGCCCTGGTCCTCCCTGCAATGTGCCAATGTTGAGAAGAGCCAACCAGGTCAAATAAGGGCTACTACATTGAATGCACGAGGCTCTGGGAGAAAATCCTAGCTTCTGGGGTGAGGAGACCTGGTGTGACCCAAGCCAGGCTCTGATCTTTCTCCACCACCCACTTCTAACCTTCTTTCAGTGCAGAGAATAGATGAGGCTGCTCAGGTCCTTGCATAAGCCAAGTGCTGACCACGTGTAAAGGTAACTCCAACATGATTCAGAGAAATTGACCCCAGTGAATAGATCTATGGGTTGAAGAACTTTAACCAGAACGGATCAGGAAAGCAAAAAAACCCCATCTACCTGTCCTATATTGCTCCCATTTCTTGCCCAGAGGAGGAGGGAGAATGTGGGGAGCATATGGGGAGCACATGCTCAGCGCAGATGCCCATGCTGTTGCTGGGGCTGCAAGGGGGGAGCAGCCACCCAGCTGTGGGCCGTGTGAGAAATTCTGCTGGCAACAGCAGCAAATTTTCCCCCATTAGGGTTGCTACATCCTTCACGCCAGTCTTAGGAAGCAGACTTACAAGAGGGGAATAGCTTCTGTGTAAGAGCACTCCCTCTGGGCTGCAGAACTGATGCTTGCGTAGGCAAGTTGACCACAACGCATTGCATACAGAGAGAAGTGCATTTTCTTTTTTGCAAAACCCCTTGCTGCTTTTCCAGCAAGGGGACAGGACTGTGGGCATCTGTCCTTGGGCCCTCGGGCATTGACTCACCTGCACAGACATCTTGGATATGGTATGGATAACCAAGGGCAAAAGTGGATGGTGCAACAGAGTCTTCCCAGTTTGCAAATTGATGTCAATCCTTCTCCATGTGGACATAAGCCTCTGTTTAATATGTTTTCCATTTATTCCTTTTTTGACTCAGCGAGGCTGAATATAGCTGGAGGGTGCAGGGGAAAGGGGAGAAGGGAGAAAAAAACAGTTATAATAAAAATAGCATGGGTGTTCAAAGATAGCGCTCTGGGAATGAATCAATACAGTTTCTCATATGTCTTGGATAGAGGGCAGGTTCTGATGAACACATGGTCCCGATAAGACAACATGCTCATTCCTAGAAACAAAATTCAGAGGCTTTGGGGAACGCTTGTTAGACAAGATGAAGTGCAGAAAAGATAAGAACTCTTTGATTAATTAAGAGAAAACGCAAAGTACCGTGAGCAAGCCACCAGAAACATCATTTCTTTGGCAAGGCAAGTGGTGGGAGAAGATGTTCGCAAGCTATGGCAGCTGCACATCGATCTCTGGGGTTGGTTTTTAAAGGAAAGTAATGCTCTGCATTTTTTTTTTTAGTGTCTCCGAGACACCAAAATCTAACGAAAGACTTGTTGCTATGCAAAATGAGGCAGACGTAAGCCACTAACTGTATTTTTGGCACAGAAGTTTTCTTCTTTTATTCTTAGAATCACATTTAAAAGCCTTACCACTGTTTTGAAGATTTTCTCCCGCTGAAATCCAGCGATAATTATACTCTTTCCTGAACTTGCAGGGATTAGTGAGCATAAACCCATCGGTGTTCAGGTGGTTCTCAGGCACCAGAAACAACGGTAGCCATAGAATTGCCTACTTGGGGAGAGGCTCTCTGGATAAAAACAATAATTGGAAGACAGAATCCAGTAAGGCCTTTTTTCTGGGCGATGTATAATTAGAAACAGTACGCTTCTGAGATTATGAGCAGTGTGAAATCATATCATTAGCATATAATTACAATGGCAGACATGACAAATTTATCTAGACCAGATGTCTATTAAATCAGTTCCCTCCTTTCACGGGTGCAGTTTCTTATGGTGTATATCACTGAATGCTGTTTGTGATACAGTTCGCAGCAAAAATCTCTTTACATCTTCAGGCATTTCTCGTTACATTTCCACAGT